CGAAACGTCGCGATCTACATCTCAAGTGACTACATCGTGAGACAAACGATAATACACTTTATTATTAAATAAGTTCTCCTTTCTTTAGTTTATGATACATCCTTGTAACAGATCTGGTGAAACCTTTAAAATGTTCCCCAAGAGTTCGACAAACCCCACCAGAGGAGGCAGAAAGTCAGTGGAGTGTCTCTGCAACATGAAAAGTTGAAGGCCAAAGAAAGCAACATTGATTAACTTAAACCAACAAAAAACGTCCACCTCGCCCCTTCCCACCCACAAAACAAAAAAAAGTGGACCAGGAAGAACTCAGAGTAACACTTGTTAATAAGTAACATTTCTATGTCACAGCCAGGAGGTAACATATTTGTTGAGGGGCTTCTGAGTGGCACACCTCAGTCACCAAGGGGAAATTAGAAACTGACCAGGCAGTTGATTTGTCAGAAACTAACACAGCTAACTAGCTCTTAATCTAATCACAGAGGGTATGTTCTATACTGAATGAAATTCTGGTATCATATCATGGAAATTGTTAGGAATACAGTAGAAAATGAAATATAATAAATTAAAGCAGCCATGGATATTTTCTGCTCTTAATTTCAAGCTCTCTACTCACTTGCTGCATTATTTTTGTTTCCCACAGTGGGAGCAGGATTTTAAGTCACTCTCCTTAACTTTCTTGGTGCAAGCCTTGTTGCCACAACTAACACGTTGCTTTACATTAGCAAAAAGTTGGTAGAATGGAGACAACATTACTTTCATAGGCAGATCAACAGGACCAAAGAAAGAAAGTCTCTGTTCTTCTGCATCTTGGCCAAGTTCATAATACTTAATTCACTCATGTTTTTGTCTACTACAGCACAGTATGCAAGATTATAACAAGCATTTGGGTAGTTTTTAACACACTGTGGTGCCTCCACCAGGTACTCTTGCAACACTTTTACTGTAGTGTCTCTCAATCTTTTTGTAGTCCAAGAATCATATTTTGACATTTTTCTGTCAATTGGTCTTTGTTCATAAAATTTAGGTGGCAACTGTACAGGTTCATCTTGATCGCATTTCAAAGTTGTAGTGCAAAGCCTCATTAAGTTATACCCAAGTCCCCTTTTGGAGTCACAATAAGATGGGCAGCATTTAAGGGAATTCTCAAAAGCTTCAGCCACTTTTCCAGCAGCTTCAGCAATAGTGTAAATTGCCGCCTTGTAGTAATACAAAAGATGAAGCCAGCTGCTGTAATTCTTATCAAACTCAATGGGTGTTTCAGACGGAAGGCTATTAGGTTCAGCCTTTCCAATATAGTGAATTAAGTTTGTGATGCCCATGAGTCTTTTGAACTTTGAAACTTTCCTCAGAAACTTTTCCCCCTGATTCATAACCACACAAAGCCACAGACAGGAGAAGTACTCCTTCAAAAAACAAGGATTTTTGAGTAAATTTTCCTCACAAAGCCAAAGAATGTCAGATAACAATAAATTTTGTATTTCAGGAAATGCTTGTAGTATAGAATTCTCAGGTAAGTATCCATGAGCTATGAGAGAAATTCCTCTGGCATTGGAAAGGAATCAAACTGTCTTAACATTTCTTCTGAAAAAGTCACAGGTTGAGTAATCGCAAATGGGTGTTTACTGGCTTCAGCTCTCTGCCTCACTTTCTCACCCATGATACTAATTGACTGGGTGAAAACCTCCTCACTGACTTCTGAAGCATCATGAAATGTGTCATCACCTGGTCTGCACTGCTGAAGGAGCTACATGAAACAAAGATACACTACTGTTGATATTTCATATATTCACTTGCATCAATGGTAAACTGTCATAAAACGAATCAGCATGGTGATAATAGGACGAACGTATGAATCGAAACAAAAACTAAAAACACTAAAAAAATTAAACACCTGATGATTTCAAACTATTTCCGTTTTTGAGACAAGTCTATACTTTTGCAAGATGAGAGTTTGGAATACGATATCTCGCACTGGAATAAAACGAAACAAACCATTTGTATTTCAAGGAAATATAGCTGTTTATAGGAACAACATCGATAGTGTGAACGATAACGCAACCCGAGAAAAAACAACATTTTAGGAGTTACGTCAAGATTTTTAGAGTCATTTTTAGGGTCGTAAAGAGTTGCCTTTAAATAGAATAAAACCTTAAAATGATCGTG